AGTGCAGTGTGAGATATATCCAAATAAAGGAAAGAAAAATGTGTGGAAAGAATTAATTGGATGCTTCACAGAGATTAAGTAGAATAAAATTTATTGAACGCACCGCTTAGTTTATTTGTTCCAAGGCAGGTATAGTGATTTCAGTCAACTGTAGAGTTAGTAGAAGGTAGTAAAGATGGCAAAAGTAGATTTGTACTTTTAAAAGTTAAACTATTAAGAAAAGAAAGGTAAGGTACTATTTAGTGGAAGATAGAGTTCAGGGAAAACTGAAGGGCTTTATTTTGTTTTGGTTTTTATTATAGGTAAAAGATCAGAGGTTAATGAAAGGTTAAATTTTTCCTTCATTATCTCACTATAGGGAACCAGTTCATAGAAAAGTTATAATCAGTATATCTTTTAATTTAGAAGACACTTTTAAAATGTTTGAATTTTGAAAATATGTATTACTGAATTGAAAATACTGACTCCCAGCTTGATATTTTTCAAACTTTTTATCAGCAGTTACTACTAAAATTATAATACTTTGTCACATTAAGAGACTTGTAGTGTATTAAGCTAGATTTCATATTTTCATCTAGGATTTCAGGCTTGCTATCTTTTCTGGTTTGCTTTTCTATTACCCAGCTGAGAACAAAATGCACCAAAACAAAACAAGTTTTATGAAGGGTATCAGAAAGATAACTGGTAGCCAGACATATGGTGGTCAATACCTGTAATCCCAGCACTTTGGAAGGCTGAGGCAGAAGGATCACAAAATTGAGCCCAGCCTGGACAACTTAGCCACTTAAGAGACCATGTCTGAAAATAAAAATTAAAAAGAAAAAATAGAATCAAGACTGAGAATATAGGTCAGATGAAGGCCCTGGGTTTATTCTACAATACTGCAAAACAAAGCTAACTGGTAAGATTACAATAGAGTATAAGGGAAGTCAGAAATCTAAGGAGTTAGGCTCTCACTTTTGAGGGTTTTCACCCCTAAAGGAAGCAGAATCCAGAAAAAGAAGCTGAGACATTAAATGTGCTCTTTACAAGTTGCAAGTGTATAAGGTCCACCACAGGTAAAAGGTTGCTGTGGAGAATTCTTACTTTGTACCTGAAAATAATCTTACCATTTGAGTAAAGATAAACCAAAGCAAGGACTGAAGGTATAGTCAGGACACTGGGTTTGATTTCCTGCAAAAGACACACACACACACACACACACACACACACACACACACACACACACACACACACAAATAGCTAGGCTTTCCTCTGCTAGAATGACAGTTCAGCTTCAAATCATAATTTCTGCATCTTCATTAACAAGATCTATTATTGGTTGTATCCTTAGGTACCTCATACTAGCATACATTAATCCCCTCTGAAGAATGTAACTGTAGACTTTGCAAATTTAGTATTCAGCACACATTATAATTAGGTACATGGTAAGACAAGATTTCAGAAGCAACAGAGAATAGAATCAGACCCACAGGTACTGTAGATATTGTAGATTTCAGATTTTAAATGGCTATATTGAGAATTTTCAGCTAATTAATATTTTAGAGAAGTACAAAGTATAAAGAAAGAAAAATTACTATTTTAGAATTGAAAAGTAAAATCCCTCCGATGAGGTCTTTGGTGGATAGATTTAACGGCAAATTAGCATAGAAAGAATTGGGGCCCTAGAAGATGAGTTAAAGTAGCCACAATAAATGAAGTCTCGAAAGAATGGATAATAGAAGAGAGGGTTCAAGACACAGCACAGTGAGACGTTTTAATTTGGGTATATTTGACTCCCTGAAGGAAAAGAGGAAAAGTGGGGGAAGGCAGGCAAAGTAAAGAGATAATGGCTGAACACTCAAAACTGAAGAAAGTCTGTAGTTTATAGATTCAGGCGTTCGTATGAGCCCCTAGTGGAAAAAATCTCAAAGTCAGTGAGAAGAAATAGTTGTACTCCCTTGAATGATGTCCTAAGAATAGTCTTGGTTTTATACCAGAAACAAGAGAAACCAAGAAGCTAAAAATTTATGTCATTAAAGTGTTAAAACATCTATTATCCTGAATTCTGTTACCTGAATTTCCCTGGCAGTGCAATAAAAATGATAAATAGGAGTACAAAACTAAATGAATGTTGATTGTCTAAATTTCTTATGAATGTATATACGTAAATGTAATTAAAATACATATCACAATATTGCATATCAGCCTTGGCAGTGACACAGTTTTCAACATCCTTGTGTCATCTGGGAAAAAATAATGCTTAATATTAAATGCTTCTAGATAAGACAATACTTCAGGCTGTCATCTCCAGGATGACCACTAGAATTGTTAGCATGTGTAACTTTTACATTAATGGCAAGGAAATGAAAAACGAGTCAGTCACAATCCAGAAAAGACAAGAAAGGAGAGAGGAAAAGCAAGAAGACAATAGAAAAATTTTAAAAAGCAACCTGTTTAGAGACACATCAACAGCACACAGGTAGAAAAAAGGTGTGAGTAGAGAGGCAAATGCTAGTTCATGGAAAAGCAGTGTATTAACATCAGACAAAGCAGACTTTTTTTTTTTTTGAGTCAGGGAGTTGCTCTGTATTCCAGGCTGGCCTTGAACTCACTGTGTATCCCAGGCTGGCCTCAAACTCGTGATCAAGCCTTAGTCTCCCAAGCGCTGAGATTCTAGGTGGGTACCGTTATACCTGGCTAGTAGAAGACTTTTTAAGGCACAGAAGTATTCTGAGAAAAGCTTCGTTTCACCAGGAAAACAATGTGAGAATGTCCCAAAATGCAGAAAGCAGAAAGACCTACTGGGAACCCGGTAACCCTTAACTGTAGTGGGAGATTTTTGTCTCTGTCACTAACTTACAGAATAAGCAGGCAAAAAGCAGTCAGCAAACTTGGCTTCTCAGACAGGGAGATACACATGCAAGTGTTTATCTGATGTCCCCAGTTTGCTAACAAAAAGTCTCTAGGGGTTGCCAAATACCTCCTGTGGGGAGAGGCAGAAGTTTCCTCTGGTTGAGAGCCACTAGTGTTTAGTGGTGCCTGCTTCTGTTGTCCTCTGCCTGCATGAAGCTGGTATTGAAGGGAGTAGCTATGAGCACAGAGTCAGTGGGCAGACTGAATTTATCACTGAGCTTTCTCCCCAGTGTAATGACTGCTCTTCTGTGACTGTCTCCTCAGTGGTACAGTAGGGACATAATGATGCCCACTTCATGCATTCAAGGGCTGTAAAGTACTTAGAACAGTGCTTGGCATGTCTAGATGAATAGTATACACTTATTTTTATTAGTAAAGAAACCACATCTATACACTATTGCTAAACTTTAGTTAGTTTTGTGAGGAAGAACAGGTCTGTTCTCAATCTAGATTCCTATTTGCTGGCCCTGGTTTCTAAAACTAGTTACCAGGAAGAGATACAGCTAGCTAACAGTGATTACTTTCAAGTCTCTGATATTGTGATGATGTGATTGTATTCTCAGAATAATAGAAAAAGTAGTTTCTTGTATTCTGAGTAGTATGAGCCCTTATTCTCAGTGTACTTCTCTGTATAGAAATTAAGGGCAATTAATTTATAAGGATCATTGTAGTTCCAGGTGCATTTGAGGTTGTTGCTTCAGAACATTTTTTCATTCACATTAGATGCTTTTCCTGTGTCTGTGCTTCCTTAGGCACAGAGTGGAAACTGTAGAACCAGTAAGACAGTGGCTGGTAGGTTACAGTTTAGTGAAGATTAAAAACGCAGATAGTGATTTTAAAAACCGTGCAGGTAGGTGCTTTGGAGTTGTGAAGATACTATATGTAGTTAGTCACAGAGACTGGGAGGTTGGGAGGTTTTAGCACAGTCTTTTAAGCATTACAGAGTTAACTGGCTTTGGGGGATTCAGGCATATGAATACTTTGTAAAAAAACTGTTCACTGTACAGCTGAGCTGATGAGGTACATAGAAATAACCTCTAACATGGTACAGATGACAGTAGGAGAAAAAGGGAAAACAATGGAATGTACATTTTCTAGATTATTTGAGCTTTAGTACAACTAAGTTTTCTTAGTTGATAGTTTTTAATCATGGATAAATATAGCATTTCCTGTGGTTACTAGCTTATTTAACTTTTAGTTTTTAAAACACTTTCATTTTAATAATTTTAAAATGTTTAGATAGGACTTATTTTATCAATTTAGAGTAGTCAGTGTTACTTGAAATACAGATGAGGTTACTCAAATGAAAAATTTAAAGTAGCTTAATGTTGATAGTGAAATATTCAAATGAAATGTCAGCAAATGGAAATTAATTTTCACATAATCTGAAATGTAAAAACCAAAGGATTTTTTTTTTGTTTTCTGTTTGTTTTGGGCAGTACTGAGGATTAAACCTAGGGCCTTTGCACTGAGCTACATACATCTGGAGATGTACCTTCTATTATTTTTAACTTTGAGACAGGGTCTTACTAAGTAGTGCCCAGGCCAGCTGAAACTTGGCAGTCCTCCTGCCTCAGCCTCCCAGAGTGCTAGTATTGAAGGTGTGATAAATATGTTTATATATAGTAGAGTACCTTAATTTACTTCATGGTATGTAAATTGGAAAGGTAACAATATCATATCACAAAGAAGAATCTGTCTTTATGACTTGTACAAATAGAAGTTTTCTCCTATGAGGAGTAGTACATTTTTCAAACTTTGGTTAATAATAACAATATCTCTTCAAATATATGTTTAAAAATGTGTCTTAAAATGATATAATCATTAAATATGTAGATGGAAATGGTCTATAATTTAGTTTTTAGTAGCTTCTATTGACAGTTACGTTTTGAATTAACTTCTAATATATGGTCATACTGCTCAGTTTCTCACACAAGCAAGAACTATAGTTTGCTTTTTGACAGTTGGTTTTCCCCCAAAACCGAAATCCCAGGGAACAAGCCACACTAAGCGTGAGTTATCTGCCCAGCAAGTTCTCTTCCGTAGTCCTTGAAATTACTCTGAAAGGAAAATGAAATTCATAGGAATTTGCCTCCTTTTTTCAGATACTGGCCAAAAGAAGAACCTAGACAGGAAAGATGGGAGACGAATGTCTTTTCAGAAACCTAAAGGCACTGTTGAATACACTGTAAGTTACTTCTTTTGAAAAAGCAACTTATATTTATAATTATCTTAAGACTCTGCACTATAATAAGGAAAGAATTGTTAATTGCCTTATTTTTAAAATTTGTACTCCCTTTGGGTAACTTTTATTGTTAATAATACTTAAGTTCTGAATTACATATTACGATTTGTATTCCTTAATGAGAAATTTTACTGTTAGCTATAGAGATAGTTTTGTTTTTTTTTGTTTTGGGGCTTTTTTTCTTTTTTTTTTTGAGACAGGGTCTCACTATGTAGTTGAAACTGACGGAGAACTCACTATGTAGCCCAGGCTGGTCTTAAACTTGCAGCGATCCCCCTGCCTCAGCCTCCTGAGTGCTGGGATTACAGGTGTGTGCAACACCACGCCTGGTGAGCTATAGAGATAGTCCAACAAATTTAATATTGATGATACTTCCTCTGCTAGAATAATTCATATTAGGTTAGGCTTTTATATTGGCCTCAGTGTTAATACTGTTGCTAAAGACAGAGGCAACACTGGAAAAACGAGTTGACAGTTCAGCTTCATTAACCCTGAAAATGAAGCTTTTCCTGTGTCCCTGAAATGACCCTGTGCTTCTCAGCTCTGGGTACTGAGGGGAACTGAAGTGAGAAACTGTGGTGGTTTAATGTGAATATCGTCTATTTAGGTAATGTTAACATGTTGTAGGACAATTATTTTAACTGAGGCTAATTTTGTTATTTTGTGTTTTCCTAATGTATTACAGCTGTATTAAAGAAAAAAATAGCTATTTATACATTAATTTAGCATTAATTTATCATGAAACCTTCTAGTAAGAATCTCTATTATTTTCCATGAATACTTAAAATTGAAATTTTCAGAATTTTGAATTATATTCTATTTTTGTGTACTATATAATTATTTGAGATTTTAAGTATTTTGAGAAGGTCTGATATTTAAAGTAGGCTTACATTTATTAATACCAAAAGTATCTAAAGCATGTTATAAGCTGAACTGCTCATCTTTGTACCTCTATAGTTGAAAACTTGAGCGAGTCAGTTCATGTGATAAAGAATTAAATAATATAATTTGGTATATTTAGCATTTATTAAGGCACAAGATTTTAGCTCTGAGGTATAAGATATAATTATTTATACATGTTATCATGATTATGAAGATTTATAAAGTTTTGAATTCAGGAATTTACCACTCTTTCGTTGAACTTCAGTAAAACTTCTGTTATCTGTAGCAAAATTAAATTCAGAAACCCTATGGTTTTGGAGAGGAGGCTAACTGAAGACTTCTTCCCAAATGTTATAAATGAGCTTTGGAAAATCAGGTGTTGACTAGAATTCATATAAAATATCTTCTAAGAGGTATTTATTTGGACTTTTATTTTTTCATTTTTTAATTCTTTTTTCCACATGACAAATTCTAAAACTAGGTAAGATACCATTTTATACTGTGGTCTTACTATAGTCTCTAAAATACTTATACAAAATTTATGAAGAATTCAACATCTTTAACATGACTTTATTTAGGGCTGTATACATTTTTCTTAAAACTATATCACAGTGTGCTGTTCAATTTTGTTTCTTCTAAAATATTTATGATCTAGCTCAAATATATTTCCAGACTACTTGTATATATTACAAATATACTATAACCTTAGATATAAGTGTAGTATAAGTATATATAACTTTAAATTTATATGTATTTTTTACTGCCTGATGGTACAGAGTGAAATCACTAAAAGGAAATCAAAAGTAGATTTTAAAAATGCTTTACAATACGACCTCCTTCCTTATCGATTAATATTCCTATGACTTGCCACTTAAATATCTTTCTTACCTTCAAATCCAATGGATGGTTTTACTTCCTACTCATCCTTCTTTCTTTCTGTTTACTTTCTTGTTGGGGTTGCGTTCCTTCATTGAGGATTTGTAACTGGAAAATCAGATTATGTCTCAAAGATCTGCATTGTACCCTCTTTCCTGACAGTCTAGCTGGCTATGAATTTGTAGGTTGACACTTATTTTTCTTTCAGCATTTTAAAGATAGTGATCTGTTACCTTGTGTTCGTCTTTTGCTCTGTTTTTGTTCATTTCTAGTTAATCTTTTTTCCCTGGGATGCTTTTAAAGTTTCCTCTGTCTTTATAGTTCTGCAATGCCACTGTGATAAACCTAGATTTAGACATTTTTATTTATATTGGTTATAATGTTTCTTAAACCTTAGGAATCACATCATTTATCAATTTTAGAAAAATGATCAGCATTCTTCACGTGTATCCTCTCCTTCTATATCTGTTTTCTCTTTTCTGAACCCTGCTTTATTCTTGAAACTAATTGTGCTTCACTTTGCTAGCATTGTTCTTCACTGTCCTGTGTTCTTGCTATCATTTTGATCGTATCTTCCAGCTACATTACTGGCTGCTCTTCTCTTCTTGATCAAGTGTGAGTGGTTCCTTGTTTCCTTTCACTTTTCTGCTGATACTGATTCTGTCCCTTGAAGAGCTTAAGAACTTCATCCACTGTATGGAATGAGGCCAAACGTTTCTCTGTGCTTACCGGTATAGATTCTGACATTTCCTACTGTCCCTTTATATTTAACAAATTATAGAAAACCTCGCCTTCCTCCATCCTTTCACAATACTTGATTTTCTTATTTTCATTCATCCTCTTATTCATCCAGGCTGGAGTTTTTACATTTGGCATCTGTTGCTTTGTCACATTTATTCCTCTGACTTAACTGCTATGACTGTCACAATTCCATTCCATGTATGGATGCTTTCTCTTGAATCTTGGTTGGAAATCTGTACCTTCATCTCTTTCTTTCAGTGTTATTCTTTAAAAGCCAATCGACCGCAGGAGTGTATTTTGGTTTTTCTGCATGTATTCTCTTGTCTCATTAAGCTTGTACCTGTTGCATATATGTGATAAGGTGCCAGTAAAGCTATCTGATTCCTGTGCTTTATAACTGTTGATTTTCAAATTACCTTTACCATCCTTTTAAAAGGCACTGTGAACATAAAATATGTGATAATAAGAGTGTACTTTGAAAACTTTCAGATATTACCACATAATAATGTGGGGTTTTTATATTATCTCAATAAAGTAGATGATATATAAGCATATTATGTAGCTGAGTGAGATTGCACAGATAGAAAAAATCAGAACTAGATTATTATCTCAGGTATTTGGGATAAATTTGGTTTTATAGAGCCATTAAAGAAAACATATGCATTTATTGTATTTTTACCTGCCACACATGTCTACTTTTCCTGATTTCTAAGTCTTCTGCAATGCAATTCCAAATGCTTTGCAGCCCTGTCCTTTATAGAAATTTAAATCTACTCACTGACTGTCCTTAAACTCTGCTTCATGGAGATGCTTTAGATGGTTAAGGAGGAAGAGATAGTACTCCACAAACATTTTATATATTTATGCCTGCTAACCTTGTATTGTTGTTACTTTGAAATATTTTTTTTACCTTCTCTGTACCTCTCCTGTTTCCCCTTGTTCAAAACTCACCCTAAATCTTTCCTGTCAGGTCTCTCCTTGACCATTTGGAGCACAAGGTGCACAATCCATACTTAGGGCTTCTGCTGTCTCGTGGCTCTCTTACGGACCGCTTTTCATCCTTTACGTGACTTTCTCTGTCTGCTTTCCTTGACAGGTGGGACTTCCTCGAGCACTAAAGTACCTAGGTGCACTTCGGTGTCTTCTCTTTGCAGCTATCATAAGGTCTTGGGTAAAGAGGACCCCAAGGGTGTACATGGATTGATCAAATGTGTTTTTCTTTCAGGATAATTGATAAAATCCTGTTAGTTATAATTACTATAAATATGATTGTGAGATTATATTAATGACTCAGGAACACATTGCTCAATTTTGATTCAACTATTTTTCTGATTTACGTACATAAATAGCAGAATGTACACAAAGATTGTTAGAAATAGTATTTTAAATTTAATACAGGTGTACTTCACTATAATAAAATTGTGTTTTTAATTAGAATGTTTGCTTATATTCTACAAACTATTTAAAAGAATACTATATTATTTTAATGCCTTTATAAAGTGAAAATTATTTATATTATATAAGTTATATATTTTGCAATAGCTTGAATTAGAGCCCTACACACAGTGTGATAAAACATGCTCTGTGTCATAGGTGGAGATTATTTGTTAACAAACACAGTATTTCTTGTCAGTTATCTAAGATGAAAATATTATTTATTTGTCAAATACAAGATTGCTTTCCAGATGTATTGATCATGAAATTTTATAATTTAGTTTTTCTGTTTTGTCAGATTAAAATAACTTTTTCTTTCTTTTAAATAGGTTGAATCAAGAGATTCCTTGAATAGCATAGCCCTGAAATTTGATACAACACCCAATGAACTTGTTCAGTTAAATAAGTTATTCTCCCGATCAGTCGTGACTGGACAGGTACTATTTTTGTTTAAATGTGTTGATGTTTAGAATCACTAAGTAGAAAATATTCATTGCACATAGTTAATATTGTAGACAATTTGAAAAGAATAATTTTATGCGTGCTTTGAACATATTGGTCCTATGAGTGAAAGCTAATTGAAATGTGTAATTGTGAATTGACTTTTTTTTTCTTTTTATTGAGTTTATTAGTACATTTTATGTATACAGTACAGTTATACTCATTATTGGGATCTTGTACCTTTACATGACAGGTCTTGGTTCTCATTTTTTCCCCTTGTCCCTGCCCTTCCTTCACCCCCTCCTTCCCTCCCCATTTACAAACACTTTATTTCCAGTTTTTCATTGTCTCATATTTTTTTCTCTTCCCTTATTTCCTTTCCCCTACCCTTCCCACTTTTCTTACACCTTTATCCCTTTTCTTCCTATTTCAGATTGTTAATTATCTCATTAGGATCTTGTGTACTGTTACAGTTTTTCACACCAGAGAAACTATTCAGTATTTACACATGTGTGACTTATTTCACTTAAGAGTATATCCTCAAAATGTATCCATTTTCCTATGAATGAATCTAATTTCTCATTCTTTATGGCTGAGTAATGTTCCATTTTATAGAAAAACCACAACTTCTTTATCCAGTTTCCAACTGATGGGCAAATGGGCTGTTTCCAAGTTTTAGCTATTACGAACTGTGCTGCTCTAAGGTGCGCATATATCATGTGATATGATTCTTTTAATTCTTTTGGAAAGATATCCAGCAGAGGGATGGCTGGGTCAAATGGAACCTCTCTAGTCCCAGCTCTTTGAGGTATCTCCATATTGATTTCCATAGTGGTTGCACCAGTCATGAATTGACTTTTCAAGGATAGCTTTAGAGTTTGTAAAATTATTCAGAGCAGTACTGTGTACAGGTATATAATCAAAAATTCCAACATTTTAAAGGTAAGTTATCCTTCCATTTTCAAACTTCTAATTTCTTTTCCAGAAACAGCCAGTTTATAAGGTTACATCTACTTTTAGAAATATTGTACACTGTTTTGAGGAGTTTTGTTTGTTTCTTTTCATATTCTGAATTTAACTTTGAAAATGTTCCATTTAAGCGCAACATGTGTTTCTGTGTACACAAGAGGCATTCTGTTGAATATCATAGTCACTCGTTGCTGTAAGCTTTAGTGTGTTTCTACTCCCACTGATTTTAACATTGCTGTGGTGAGTACTCTGGTACTTCTTTGTATTTATATGCGTGTCTTTCTTAGGGTAAATTCCTAGAAGTAAAATGGCTGAGTCAAAGAGATACACACATTTTAAATTTTTGTTAACTCTTGCCAATTTGTCTCCAAAACAAGGGAATTATTGCTTTTCACCTTTTTTTGACAGTATGTCTTATCAAATGTCTCAATTCATTTTGAATATTCTTTATTTTTACTATGTTAGGCCTGTTATAATAAATATCATTGCAATTCAAATATTATTTTTTCTGTTTATTACTGAAGGTCGTTTTAATGGTGCTTGCTTACAGAAATCATCTGATTATTAACATCACAGTTTAACTGAATCGTGATGTGACATTTTCTTGCAGGTTTTGTATGTTCCTGATCCAGAATATGTCTCCAGTGCTGAGAGTTCTCCATCTCTGAGTCCCATAAGTCCTCTGTCACCAACATCATCTGAAGCTGAATTTGATAAGACCACTGTAAGTACCATTCCTGTGAAGTTAGTTGTGGAGAAATCCCTCTGTATATACTGCATTGTTCATGTTTTTTGTTCTACTCTTTACTGTGGTTAGGATGAAATCATAGTTTTTATTTTGTTAAATTTGTGAATCTCAGTTTTTAAAATGAAACATTCTTTCATTAAAGCAGTTTAAACTGATTTACCTTTGGTGGCAGTGGTCCAAAGATACAAACTACATTGTAGATATTGTATGTAATTGAATTTACAAAGGAATTTTGCCTAGAAAACATGAGACTATCTTGATAGGAAGTTCCCATACAATTTGAATTTTATTTTTATTTCTGTGAACATATAATACTAGTACTTAGAACTCTTAAATGAGTGCATTTTTGATAGCCTGCCTTTTACACATAAATTATCATCTTAGTCACTTTCAAATATTAACATGAGATTAATTTATGTAGCATTAATAAGGATTGTGTATTCTGTACATATTACATTTTACAAACGAATTTCAAGGAGCTAAACTTTATTAATCAGCTTGATTGAGCTGTCTGAAAGTAAGTGTGTCTTTCTGCCCTTTCTGCATATGTCAGTTCTTTCTGTTATTTCCCATTTTGATCAAGAACTCTTGTTTCCGTGTGTGAGATTGTTTCTGTGCCTAGTGCCTGGGCTCCTGCAGGGCTCCTTACATGTCTTTCGTGACTTTGGGAGACATCATTTTCTTTGCTCTGTCCATTTGGCCTCATAACATTTAAGATACCAAATGACAAACTGGTAACAAGGTACAAATTACTAATTTACCCTCAGTTACTCATTTTTAAGTTCTAGAGTTCTATACTTACTTTCTAAGCTCTAGTATTCTTCTTCTTTTGTGGAATAATTAAATGTTATTATTGATAGTGCTTTATCCTTGCCCAGGGCCTTTTTTCTGCGTGTGTGTGTGTACTCATGTGTAAACGGTGTGAGAGAGGGACAGACAGAGGGGTGAGGTCTTTTCTAATGTTTTACCTGTAGCATTTATCTGTATAAATGCGGAAACACTGCACTTCAGAAGGCCACGTGAAAGGAATCAGAGTGAGAATATTCCATTACCTGAGAAGAATCCCTCATTTGAAATGCTTGCGGTCCGAAGTGTTTCAGATTTTTTTCGATTTTGAAATGTCAGCATGTATATGGTGAACTATCTTGGTGTCTCTCAGCTTTAAACCAAATCTCTACCCCTTTGCTTTCTTGAAAAGCATAAAATATACCATCAAGGTGAAAATGTTCTCTTTAGTTTTCCCATGGGGTCGAAGTTGGAGAGAATAATAAATACTGGTCAAAGCTCCTGTCAAAGGCAGCCCAAAAGTAACCTTTAATATGAAGAAGACGCCTGTGAATAAATTCCTTTTCTTGGGATGAGTCAAGGGAAGAGATCAGGGATGAAAGAGCTCTTCAACTTCCTTTCCCCAGGATGAATGCCCTCAGCTTCTATCAAAAAGATTGTGTGCAACAGTTAGAAAGGAGTCTTTTGAACAGTGATTTTATAATCTTTAGTTGTATTTTTAAAAATTATGTTATCAGACTCCAAAATACTCCTGTATAATTATCTGCATATCTCAAGTGCTGATATTTTTCTTACTATAATTGTTAGATCTCTTCTACTTCATATCCTTAATGTATATCCTGGGAAGCAAGGTTATTGTTTTATTAAGTATAGTTAGTGCTCATATTAAATAATGTCTATTAGTATTGACTGTTACCACATGTTCTTCCCAGAAATTGTCATTTCCTATTCCCAGTGGCCACTAACAGGGTTCAGCTTGGTAGTGGCTTATCTGTAAGCCTAAAATGTTTTGCTCCTGGCTTTGTTAGAGTATAAAGTTTAATTTTTTTGAGTAATTTGTTTTTCTGTAAAAATATAGTCTGGAAATTTACAAGGCCAAACAAATTTTTCCCTTTTTCTTTACTTGTGGATGAAGGCTCATAGGAGGTGCATCCCAAGCAGGAGTGAAAAAGGAGACAATGGCTAAAACTGACTGTGTCTGATTCTGTTCTAAACACTTTGAAAGTATTGTCACTGTGGCCTCAGATTTGTGAGGTGGCCCTGGCCTGGGCGTCTGTGTGCCCCTCCGGAGGCTCCTTGCTCTCCGTCTCCCTTGGACAGCAGAGGGCAGCATGGACTCCTGTACTGTCTTGGCCTTTCAGGTGCACTAGCAAAAGATGAGTGTGAAGGAAAGAGAGTAAGATGGGAGCAAGATCACCACGGAGAGACCGCGTCCTTCCACATCTCCTTGTTTCTCCCACCGCCCTTTCCTCAGAGCCTTCTCTGTCTCCATCCGGGCCTCTTGCTCTCCTCCTTGCTCTTTAGGACCTGGGGTCATAACAAGCCTCTGGGGTTTGCCCTGAAGTTTTGTATTCTTACCTTGGTAAATAGTGCTATTTTTCATCTTTCTTAAAATTATGCAGCCTAATGCACTGACCAATACACTGTTACTTCTATTTTACAGAGGAGGAAACTGAGAACAAGAAGTTAACAAATTTGCCTCTCAGGTCACTTAGGAAGCTAATCACAGAGCTAGGATTTTAGTTGATGCAGTCTAGAGTCTGTGTTCTGTATTTCTCCTGTATATTGGAATTGATAGCTCAGAAACTACAGTTGCTCAGTAGATATGGTTCAAAGGAGATAAGTGATAATTACCCATTGTTAGAGGGTATAGGGATAGCTGCCACTTTGCACTATTGTCTTTTCTTAAGTTTCTTTTACTTTCACAACCTTTTTATAAATATAGAACCTACTTTTGTTTTCTACTCCTTTTCACCTGTATTCTATTCATTATGCTAATGCCATTTTAGGTTAGAACTACTAATGTGATAGAGTGAAATTCAGAGTAAAAATGTTTAAAATAAATAATGTAGAAAGAGAATTTTATATTTTTATTTATGCTTCTCTTAATATACTCTGAAGGGATATGCAGATAGTCATTTTCTTTAATACAAAACACTTTATTATAATCTAAGATGATAGTAAAAGAATCTTTATTAATAACAGTTGGTTTGGATACACATCATGGTAAGGACATTTTTAAAAAAACATTAAAAAGTTCTAGAAAAGTACATGAAATCCTAAAGGAGGAAAAACTGTTTTAGAAAAGTGATGGTGTTTAGGCAGGTTTACTACTTACTTCTCTTTAAGCAAATGCTGCAGTTGTTACCTTCTTCCTAAGCACTGCTTATTGGGCACTTTGTTCTGAGTGCTTTGGAACATTAATCTACAATAAATAAGTTACCACTCCTCTTTTTAAAGTGAAGAAATTAAGACCCACAGAGAAGTGACAAATTTATGGAAGTCATACAGAGACAAGTGGGAGAGCTCAGGTGTAACCACTGCAGTCTAGGGCAGACGTTGTGCTGTGTTTTTCCCACCTTTGGCACTGGCTGGAAGCGAAATTCCGAGGACTGCGAGTGCAGAGACTCTGGAGCCAAAGCATAACCTCCCCAGACACACAAGCGCAGGGGGACAGGTGAAAGTTTTGCCGACTGAAGCAAGAGTAAAAGTTAGCTTAGAATTCAGGAGTGTTGTTTAAAGTGATGAAAAGGTGAATAGATGCACTAGGTTGCAGTTTTTAGCCTTTTTGGACTTTTAAATAATGCTGTTATGCTGTTTACATAACGTAAACTTTCTTTTAGTTGTCTGCATTCTTTTTTTTTTTTTTTTTTTTTTTTTTTTTTTTTTTTTTATTTTTTTTTTTTTTTTTTTTTTGGCTTTTCTGGAGCAAAGGATCACAGACTGATTGTGCTGTGGCAAAAATCCATGCCTCAGAGTTGTAGCCGGAAGTCAGACCTCAGGCTGTGTGCATGGCCCCTGCTCCTCTGGATCTGTAGGAGCATCCTTACCCAGGGTCACCAGGAACCCCTGGCATCCTGTGGGGTGTACCTGTGTTGCCCCAGCTCCACCCTGCGTGTCGTGGGGCTGCCTTTCCCTGTCTGTGTCTTCACACGGAGTGCCTGACGTGAAGTGCAGCAGGCAGTAGTGAAGAGTTAAGGGTGCACTTCACTCCCACTGCCTCAGCTTACCCAGTTGTGTCTGCGAAAGCCTCTTTCCAGATAAAGCTGCAGCCTGGAGGACTAGGAGTTGGGACTTGAGTGTATCATTTGGGAGACAGTCAGACCATTACATGGACTCTTACAGCATTCCAAGAGAATTAGAGACTTGGTAGTACAGAATTTAATTTATATTACAGAACTTCATCTCAGTTATTTTTGAAGAGAGAGGTAACTTCAGAAGATTTTTAACTCTACTTAAGTGAGATTTTCAAAAACATTTCAGTAAATATCCTTCATTTATAGATGAGAAGTTTCATGGAAGTGTGTGGTTAATTTCTCAGAGATTGAGGAGCTTGTAAATATTTGTGAATTCTGTGAAACAAACCCCTTTATAATCTTATGAATAATATAATTAATTAACGTCTTAAAGATTTATACCTGTGTACCTGAAAAAAGATGTTAATTACAATTCATAGTAGATGTGGAAGAAGTTATAAAAACTAGATAAAAATAACAGTATAGTTTCAAAAGGTTAAATATTGCATAAACTTGAATTACTCTCACATATGCCATTAAGTCACAGACCTTGCCTTTCTTATTATTTGTCTCTATGTCTTTCAACTTAAACACACTAATACCTACTCCATAAAAAATTATATATATGAAATAACATTTTATATTTGTGTAATATATAAATTAGAATTTTAAATTTAAGGATTTTAAGCTTAAATTTTAATATGTGAATATATACAGTTCACTTAATGTGAGCTTATATGTTATCAAATAGTTATATAAATATAAATTTCATACAATATATAACAAATTATGTCAAATATACTACAGTATGTTATATACAGTTTAATTTTTTTTTTAACTGATTTTAAATTCAACAACTTATTGGGGAATTACAAGTTTTAATATGTACTGTTTAGTAGACTATGTTATACCCTAACTTTATAGTCTCAGAAGAAAATATTATACTTAATATCTGATAAAATTGAGCTAAACAGTAGGATTTTACATTTATTTAGATATTAGGAAACCAAATCTTTATGTAGAAGAAGTTCTCGTATTTGTAACATCAGAAGAAATGGTTAAGTTACAGGATGACAGTTATCTTCCAGCATCTGCATGGGAATATCATTTCCATGATTAGAAGTAAAAGTTGAACCTGTTCTGCTTTTAACCTAGTTCCAAAGAGGCTCAGAGTCAGGTCCAGAGTCCCGAGTACAGCACTAATGGGGTTCCTTACAATTATACTTTTCTTCACTCTTGGTTTTTGTAATTTGTATTTTACCATTTTGCATGTTGATTTCAAGCATTCTGGACCTTCTAGATTCTAAGAAATAGAACGTAAATCTGAAAGATATGGTTAAATGTCATTCACAGAGGAGGTTGGATCTGTCATCCTGGCACTCGGGAGATTGAGGCAGGCTAATCGTCACAAGTTCCGGGCCAGCCTAGGCTACAGAGTGAGTTCGAAGCCAACCTGAACCACGTAGCAAGACCCTGTCTCAACCACTCCCAATTGTTTTTTGAAAAAAAAAAAAAATTAAAAGAGATAACTGGTATTCATTGTCTGTTAGTTTGAATGAAGAAATAGTATACATTGCTTTAAAAATAAACATTTTCTTTTAGATTATATTACACATACATGATGTATGAAATAACTACAGATGTTGGTATTTATGTACCTGTATGGCTTTTAAACCTCTGTTTTAACTGTGTGTTACTTGTAAATATTTCTGTAAATTTCAACCACAAAGAGACAAAAACAGAGTAAAACCTCAGCAAGAAGTGATGTGGAGTGTTTGAAGTTACTAGTTAGTTTATTGTAGTGATTGATAGCAATACTGTGAAATTGTGAAATCACACAAAAAAGATGATTGATTCAACATTTTAAAACTACTGTCCTAGAAATCCTTAGCTTTTTCACACTTGAGTCTGCAGGGAAATATTGAGGCTAGATAGATATTTGCACTTTTTATTTTTAAAAAATTTTCCTTTGCTGGTGGCTAAAACAAAATGAAAGCAAAATGTTAGAAAGTACTCCGATGAGTTTCAAAACTACTTCATGAAGACCCAGAATTGATAAAATATCAGTTAAAACCAGCTACCTAGAGACAATGATATTTTGAATAATGAACATTTATGTAAGTTGCCCTGAAGTCTGATAATTCATCTGAAAAACTCTGATCTTTTTTTTGAAAGAAATTATCTCTCTTGTATATATTTTGTGCATTTGCTAATAAGCTAACTTTAGGATTATATTGAAAAGTCAAGATTGCTATAGATACTGAGTGGTAGAATTTGGGACTTTGGAGAAACTCAGAGACCATGTTATTCCGTGAGGGTCTGTCTTCATTTAAGGAGAGCACTGACGACGTACTGTATTCTTACATATCAAATATATACTGCCTGACACAGTTGCACAGTAGGTAACAGGACGATCAGTTGAATTTGGGAGTAACCGAGCAGTCAAATGTGCTGATAGCTTTTTGCCTGCCTGCGGGGCCTTTCTGGTACCTCTGCATGAGGTGGTATTTTCCTTGGCACATTTGTCCATCCTTTGGTAGAAGATCAGAAAGGGGTGGTTTAGGGTATTACAGATAAACTCGTAAGTTCTTTTGCAGCTCGGCATTGTCTTATTCATTAGGCAAATCACTCAAGTTCATGTTTATGGCAGAGTTGTTGTCCGTTATATATACTCCTGTATTTTGGGGGGGGGGGGTTACTAGGGATCAAACTTGGAACCTGGCATGAGGCAGGTGTTGGAACCACTGAGCTAAATCCCTGGCCCTGTAATTTTTTTTTTTTGTACCAGGAATCAAGGCCTCACACTTGCCAGGCAGGCACTGTGCCACTGAGCTACATCCAGGGCCATAGTCCACTGCATGTAAACACCACAGTTTCTTTATCGATTAGGCTGCTTCCAAGATTTAGGTATGATGAGTTGTGCTGCTGTAAATACGAGTAATGCATGTGTCACTGTAACATGATGTCTTTAACTTTTTCAGGAAGAATCCTAGAAGGGGAATCGTTGGATTAAATAGTATTCCTAGTATTTCTTTCTTGAGGAATCTCCATTCTGATTTCCATACTGGTTGACTAGTTTGCATTCTCATCAACAATCTAGAAGTGCAATGTTATTATTTCCAAAAGCTAAGTTAGTGCTACTAGATAGAAGTTACAAAGGTCCGAACCTTGCTACTATGAAAACTCTTCTACGAAATAGTGTGCATTTGTTCATAAGGTACAGAATGCCTCTGTGGAGATATTTAAAACAGGTCTAAAGGCATCTACCTTCCCCCAAGGAACAGAATATTGAACTTTCATGGAGGGAACTTCTGTAATATTTAAAGGGTCTGTGAACTTCTATATAAAAATTTTAAGTGCAATGTAAAATTTTTAAAATTAAGAAATATAAAAGCAATTACATTAGTACCATAAATACCTGTGACTTTTTCCTCAGATGTTTTCAGATCACTTTGGAGTTGTAGAAACCACAAAATGTCATAGACATTAAGCAAAAATGAAGTTCAGCATTATAATTGTCAGAGTCACTACTAGATTTTGTTATTTAATGTATTAATAGAGAAGAATATATATCACTATATTTCCAATTCTCTTTGAAATGTTTTGATAATTTCAATATACATAATTGTTTTGCTTTATAAGTATGCATTTTGACCAACAGCACTCTGAGAAGAAGTCCATAGATTGCGCTGTGAGAAGGGCTCATGGCATTAGGAAAGGTAAACTGAGATCTCAGTGATCCTTTGTAAAGTAGTGTTGATAAACTCTTAAGTAGTTTGAAATTTCAGACTTCTAGTGAGTGAGTTTTGCTGAATACCTAAGCACCACAGACAAGGTCTTCACCTTTCCTTTGTCCACAACACTTCATGTATTATATTTTCTTATGAGGATCAGTGGTTTAATTCATGAGTGCCTGAGCATATGTGTGTTGAAGTATGAATGTAGGTATACATGTGATGTTTTTAATGCTTTCTGGATAATGTGTGTGCATTATATACATATTATATAATGGAGCATACACTGTATTTTTATGTGCATGTAATATATATACATGTGTGTGTATGTGTGTGTGTGTGTGTGTGTGTGTGTGTGTGTGTGTGTATCACTGAAAATGTAAGTTATGTTTGAGGTTTTTATTGAGTGTATTAGTCAACTTTCCCATTGCTGAACAAACTCCTGACACTCACTACTTAAAGAAGAGGTTTAATTTGGCTCAGGTTTTAAGGAGATTGTCCATGGTAAGCTGGTTCCAAGACAGAAACATTGGTGGAAGATTATGGCAGAGAAAGCTTCTTAGTTCATGGAGCCTGGGAATTAGACCAGGGGAAGAGTGTCAGAGAGGAAGGGGTAGGCAAGAGGACAAACCTAGACGGCAAGGCCACAGCTCCCCAGCCTACTGGAGATAACACACAGTGTGCTCCACCCGCTCCTGGGGTGGACCCTGAAGCTAACCATGTGATGCTCCACCTTAACAGCCATGCAGAGCATGATATAATTTTTTACATGAGATTGTTTTGGGGTGACCTCCAGAATGTGGACAGGAAGAAGAGAATTTATTGGGAAAAGCTATTTGTTTGGCTTTAATACTCTGTGTATTTTGCATAGTTTGCTAAAGTGCCTTTTTTTCTTCTTCTTCTTTTAAGACTCTTGATGCAGTCCATCCAAAAGAAGCAACTCCTTCATCAGTGGTTTCTGGTATTCAATCAACACGAGTTGTGTCTTCAACATCTGAGGAAGAGGAAGCATTTACTGAGAAATTTCTTAAAATTAATTGCAAATACATTACCAGTGGCAAGGTAACAGATGACACGTTAGAGAAAACTTCTAATCATGCCTTATCCAGTATTAATGTTGACACTTTGACATTTATTTTTTAAATCAATGACTGAATATTTAAACAAGTATTGGTGATAACTGTCAGTTTGAGTTAGTATGGCCCTTGCTCATAACAGAAGAGTCTTGTGGTCTGTTGCAGTTGTTAAAGGCAATGAGATGTCAACAAATTCACTATAATAAGGTACAGTTAATTTATTCCTACTAGAATATTTCAAAAAGTATCTGAAAAAGACTACTTCTAGGCAATGTATGGAATGCTAACGTTTCCAAACTTAGTATAATACACCCACAAAGTATATGTATTCATTAAATACCTATTAGATGCCAGAAACTATTTGAGGTTTATTCATTGATTTATCAATTCAAAGTATTCTTATAGAACAGTATTATTTCTTCTCAAAGGAAAAAAAAAAAGGTCCAAAAGGTGACTTGGTCAAAGTATCTTTATGATGGTCAGAAGTCAAACCTGATTTGAATGTTTATCTACCACACCTTGCTGCTTTTCTAAGCAAAACCTTCCAGTTTGCAAAGGAAATGTTGTAAATACTGAATTGAAAAATAAATTCCAGGTTTTACTTAGAATGTGACCATAACATGACAAGGATTTTAGAAGTCGTACGCAACAATCATGACTTTATACTTATAATTCATAAATTGTTTTAAAAATACAAACAGTACTTTAGCTGTCCCCTAAGTGATGTTTTAGCTGTGTTCCCAAAATCTTGATGTCTTATTTTCATTCACTTCAAAATATTTTCTCTTGATTTTTTTTTCTTTACCACATAGAATATTTTGCAAGGTTTTAATTACTTTGCATTGCAATATTTGGAAATTTTCCAAATATCATTATGTTATTAGTTCTGCTAGCTCTTGAAAGCCTAATTTATTGCAACCTGTCCTATGGTCCATGTGTTCCACGCATATTCCATGCATATTCTGTTGTTGGGAGTGGAGGATCTGACCTGTGTCAGTGAGATCAAACTGGACCACAGTGGTGTTCTGTATATCTTCTGATTTTCTGTTTCTTCAATCACTGACAAAAAGATGTAGAAATATCACACTATAGTTGTGGATTTGTCTATTTTCTTCAGTTCTGTCAGTTTTTGTTTTATGTATTTTAACTCTACTATTAGGTGTAAAAGCCCTTAGTGATTTGTTCTCTTGATGAATCAACTTGTCTGTCATGAAAAACCGTCTTTATTCTTGGTAATATTCTTTGTTATGACAACTGTGTTGTCACCTTCCTTTTGATTAGTGCTAACATAGTTTATCTGTTAGTGTTCTTTTAGTCTGTCTTTATAAAATCCGTGTCTTGTATGTAGAATATAGTTGTATCATTTTTCCTTTGATAATCAATCTCTGCCTTTAATTTAATATGATTGTTGATATTTTAAATTTACCATCTTGCTTTTTGCTTTCCTCTTTGTGTCCCATCTGTCCTGTTTTTCTTCTTCTTTTTGTTGTTCTTTTGCCTTGCGGTTTTTATCATCTCCTTTGTTGGCTTATTAACTGTGACACTTTATTAATGGTTACATTAGCATTTATTATACATATCTTTAATATATTGTAGTCTCGCTTCAGTAACATAACACTTTACATATAGTGTAAGAACCTTTTAGTTGACCCTTGAAGAGCACAGAGGTTAGGGACACTGACCCTGACATTTGTTTGTAATAGCCTGCGATTAACTGGAAGTCTTACAGATAATGGAAACAGTGGACTGTGCATATGTTGGGTGTGAGACATGTTATATCCAGAGAAAAATGCCAGAGAACTACAAGAGAGCATTTTTATTGCAGTATACAATTTCCTGGAGAGACAGTCTGCTTGTACAGCTGTGATTAGCATCCTGCAGTGCAGATGACTTGACCCCGAACTCCCCGCATCCCTGCCGTAACCCCTGAGGGTCTGTGGTGTTGCGCACAGTGCAGCAGGTCCTGTATCCGTGAGTGGTAATTTCCATTGCCCCACATCCTCCCAGCAGACATGTTCTCATTTGTCTAGGAGTTTCGCCATCCTGTGACCCTGTGGTGTTTTAACTTGGACTTCTCAAGCACACAGTATGTGAGCGTCTTCTCACATGGTCCCGTGCTACCCAGGGTCATCTTCTCCATTAGTTTGAAAGATGGCTGTGATGAGCACAGAGTTAGGTCGGCGAGGTTTCTCTTTGAGAATTGTAACAAAGCTGTTCCACTGTTTTCAGTCTTGCACTTTTGCAGTCTTCTTTTATTTGATGTTCTGAAAGAAAAAGTGTCTTTGATTACACTAAAAATATTCTGTATCACTAATTTTGAACAAGTTGATTATGATATGCCTTGGTGTATTTTTTTCACATTTGTTCATTTGGCTTTTTGGATCTGTGAATTTGTAGCTTAATTAAGATTTGGAAAATTTTTAGCCATATTTCTTCAAATATTTTTTCTTTCTTGTCCTTTTTTGTGCATTCTTTGAGAACTTCAGTTATATCATTTTTGGCTGCCTAACATCTTACACAACTCCCTAATACTCTTCTTTTTTTCATTCTCTATAATTTCAGTGTTTGAATTTTTTTCCCATCATGTCTAATCTGTTAATTATATTTAGGATGCTTTCATCTCCATCATTGTCCAGTGCAGTCTTATGCTTTCCATATACCCACTTACCATGCACAATCTCTCCTCTGTACTCTAGAACAGATTTATAATTGTATTAATGCCTTCTTACCAAGTTTCTTTCACTCTTTCTCACTTCTGTGTCTTTTTGTATTTGTTGATTTTTTTTTCTCTTTGGTGAAAGGGTCATTTTTTTCCTGTTTCTTCACTTATAAAAGTTTCTTCTCAGATGCCAGACAGTGAATTTATCTTCTTGGTTGCTGGCTATTTTTGTATTCCTGTACATATTCTTATACTTTTTTTCTGGGACAGGGTTAAATTTCTTAGAAACAGTTTGATCTGATCCCAGCTTGTTCTTCAGTTTTGCTGGATAAGCCCTCAGCTGCCCTTGTCCTAACTGACATTCTCACTTGTTGAGACACTGCCACTAGAGATTCTGAGGCCCTATAAGTACAAGTTTTCCGTCTGGTTCACAAGGACACAAGCTATGTGTGACTGCAGACCCCAGGGAGCACATCCTATGCTTCTGTGGAGTGCTGCTTGCTCATCTCTGGATGTGCTGTGTGCACGGCTGGTGGTCAGTGCTCCTCTCCAGCTCAGAGGGACCTCTCTGTACCCCAAAACCTTCTTGCAGAGCAGCATTTCCTGTCGCCGTGTCCTCACTTGTCACCTGGAAACCCTGTCCACCCAGTGTGCCCAGAAACAAGTGTAGAGTTAATCCCCCTTGGTTCTCTTTATTGTTCAGATATCACTGGCCAGCAGCCTTCCAGTATTGAAAAAGTCATTTCATGTGTATTGTATGTGTTTTTAGTAGTTTCAGGCAGAATTAGTTTTTGGCTTGAAGCAGAAGTTCATTTGCGGGCATCTAAATGTGCTTTAAGGATCAAAGTGCACACAGGGCCACTGGGCCTGTACTCTAATGTTCTTGGAATATAATCTCTTGTTGGAGTCTGTCTGTGTTTATGTTAACGCACAGAATAAAATAGGCAAAAGTTTTACTTTCTCCTGCAGATTTTCTTCTTCATGCAGATTAATCATAGTAAAGATTCTTTACTTAAAATATTAAAACTTGTCAACAATAATTATAATGATTAAATTATTGTAGAGTTAAAACTACAAAAATAAAATCAATACGAGCTTCTATGTGCTGGGATAGATTCCCAGATCATAGTCTTTTTATCTTCTGGTGTTTACAGAAAGATTGTAAGTGGTAACTTTTCTTTTTGCAGATAGACTATTTTCTGACAAATAATTTCTCCTTAAAAAATTGGTCAGATGGGGCTGGGGATTTAGCTCAGCAGCGCTGTTCCTGCCTTGCAAGTGCAAGGTCCTGTGTTCAATGCCTCGTGCCCCCGCCAAAAAGAAAAAAAAGATTAGTCAGACAGTTGCACATAAGCAGATAGAAGTCATTAATACTAAAAAGTAATTTGTGCTTAAAGTTTCTGAAAATCATGTGGCTTAAGATGAAACTGATTAGGACACTCTTGCTCACATTAGTTTTAACATAATGCCAACAGTATGTCAGAAGTTAAGAAACAGTGTTATGTTTCATTTTGAAAATTTGTGTTAAATGTTTCCATGAAAATATCATTGTTGTAGAATTTAATATATATGATAGATGATCTAACAGCGTAAGAAAATTAGTAAAATAGTTTCAATAGTTTTAAAATCTTGAACTTTGAAAATTAAACATTACTTTCTCTTTTCCCCTTAGGGCACAGTCAATGGTGTGCTGCTGGTCACACCAAACAACATCATGTTCGATCCACATAAGACTGACCCTTTGGTCCAAGAGAACGGCTGTGAGGAATATGGCATCATGTGTCCCATGGAGGAGGTGATGTCAGCTGCGATGTACCGAGACGTTCTGGACAGCAAAATAAAGGCATCTTTACCCGTGTAAGAACAGCGCTTTCCTCCGCTGCAGTTGATTGTACCCGGAGAGTTGTCCCTGCTCTGATACTCGCAGCTGTTTTTAGTAATTTTATTACAGTCATTTTTTATCAGTAAAACAAGAAATACATGCAGTAATAAAAGATTATTAATGCACCTAGAATATTAGGAATTATTTAATTATTTTAAATTTATACTTCTGTTTTTGGCCAGAGAACCAGATAGTTGAAAAGCACAGTATCAGTGTTTACCACATTAGTGTTTTTAGATATGGCATTAAGAATTCTAAACTAGAGCCGGGTGTGATGGCTCATGCCTGTAATCCCAGCACTCAGCAGGCTGAGGCAGGAGGATTGCTGTGAGTTCCAGACCAGCCTTTGCTACATAGTGAGTTCCAGGGCAGTCTCAACTACATAGTGAGACCCTGTCTCAAAAAAACCAAAAACAAACAAAAAAATAAAAGAATTCTAAACTATTAGTTGGGTGTGGTGGTGCACACCTGTAATCCCAGCACTCGGGAGGCTGAGGCAGGAGGATCGCTGTGAGTTTGAGACCAGCCTAGGCTACATAGTGAATTCCAGGTCTGTCTCAACTACATAGTGAGACCCTGTCTCAAAACAAACAAACAAACAATTCTGAACTATTTACTTCTGAAAGATAGTTTTCAGATTTTTCTCAGAAGTACTTGAAGGATAAGGTATAGACCTGACAGTGCTATAGCCAGAAAAGCTGTATTTTTTAATTTATTTGTTTATATGTTTTTGCTCTTCTGCCCTAGAAAAGTATAAAATACAAGATAGAAAACCCACAAGTTGCACTCAAGTGTTAATCTTGCATTATACTAGTCAGGGGATTTGTGTGATCAGGTAGCACAGGTGAGATAACAGATCAGGGACCACCTTTTGGAGTAATATGCTTGACCAGACTAATGACACTAGAGAAAAAAGAAATGAGAAATGAAAGAAAAAAGATAAAACATAGATATGCCAGGGGAGGGTAGAGCGGGAGAAAATTGATGTGTAATAGAAAAGAGCTTCCCTGTTTCTCCATGCGTGATTCTGTTAACTTAAAAGGACAGTAATGGCATTGTGAAATTAACTCTTGGGAAGAAAAGTTTACAAAGGAAAAAGAAAATTATTTTTTATCTGAGGCAGATTATATGAGTTGTTAGGATACCTGTAATAGGATGAAGTCCATTATTGGAAAAAGTATCATATTTTCTAAACAATAGTAATTACTTTGGCTTAATAAGCTGATGTTCATGGTCCGAGATAATTCCTGGGTGTCATTATTCTCTACTATTTGTAGTTGTAAATTATCCAAAGCCAGTTTCAGCAAATAAGGATTATTGAGGGCTAATGAAGGGATGAGACTCAGGTGAAGGAAAGAATGGAAGGTTGGATGGGTGGAAAGACAGAGGACGGGGTCATGCGTGATGTGTAACATCAGCCGGTGCTCCCCTTTCCCGTTTGTGTTATTAGACTGAACGGTTGTGACTGTTCTGTGCGGTGCTGTAGCTCTCCTTCCCTTTTAGCCCAGTTTCATTGGTGTCACCAGGAAAGACTGTGTACTTCATCCAAACATTAAACATTCCTTAAAAATGCATTTTTAGGAGCCAAGGGTTTCGATCAGTGGTTCTGCTGCCTGCCTTGCAATTGCAAGGTCCTGAGTTCAATCCCCCAAAAAACAAAACAAAAATGAATTTTTAAAATATTGCCTTATGGGATAATTTAAAACAGCATTTTGCACCAGATCTGATAAACAAAGCAAATAGTTTTTCTGAACAATGTTTTTTGTGAAAAATCAGATTAAAAACATTGGTTGGTTTTTTTATACTGCTTGGAAAGCTGATTTCAAAGATATTTTCTGGGAACTGTATTGAACAGTAGCAACATCGTTGGCATAAATGTTTGTCCTTTCAACATATTAACTTTGAAAAGTACAGTACTTATATGAACATGTATTCTGTCCGGTTTGTTATCCTCATCCTCCTACCTAATTCTGTTCCGACAAAATTTCCCACAACATGTTGCTTGTTGAAGCCTCCTAAGGATGCAGTTTGAGCGAATTACCATTAGATGGCGCCATGGCATATTAAATAACATGAATTGGACTTGTGAAAAGATGAATTCAGTACAAAGGCTGCATAGATAGAAATTAGGATTCAAGTAACATTTTAAAATAAATTTTACTCATCCTAGTTAAAAAATTACGTATACTTGTTATAGAATCCTTGAATAATCTAAAATAACAGGACAAGAGAAGACTTACCCAGTTTCACCACCCAGAGCAAGCCAGTTTTTGTGTGTGTATGGACGAACTTTCCAGTCTCTTCTGTGCGGGACAGTTTCACCTGGTCCTCCAGCTGTACATGCACAAAGCTTAACACTTTCTGCAGTGAGAATTCATGAAGATTCCATGTATCACAAAATATTTGGAACCATCGTCCCGCGTTGTTGACATATGCTTCATAACATAGACGTTCACACTTTCTTTCTAGAATGTAAAATGCAGCATGCGAGCACTAGTGCGCCCCTAAATAAATGGCATGCGTGATGGAAGTGTAGACCTAGTTAGGAACCGTGCACTTCCGCTTTGTCTGTATTCGTCACCTGGACAAGTTCTCCGAAAGAGTGCTTGCCACTGTAAATAGATCCTGGAGGTGTGTTTGCTCCAGTTATGTTCAGTTGGTATTCAGCCCTTGCTTGTGAGCCAGTATCTTGGTTTAATCACTGTTTAAGTATAAATAAGTACTCTGTGTATATGTAATAAATTAATATATTCTTTATTACAAGATTTAAAATTTTAACTGAAAATTTCTTAAATTTATTTTCTACATTCCATAATTGAGTAAATTTCAGTTTAAAATTAAATCTTCATCCAGAACTTTTGGCATCAAATTTTCTTAGAGTACATAATCTGCAAGGAAATCTTATGTTGCTATTTTTCAAATCTTTGTTGATATTTTTCAAATCTTGAGCTATTGATATAAAAGTTTGACTTGATTTGTATAAATTTTTATGTTCTTTTGAGATGTGTACTTTGTGTTTTTCAGAAATCTCTTCAGTAAGATTAATTCAGTAGTTTGTGGAAAGTAAAATAGTACAGTGTTTTTTTTTTTTTAAGTCTAACAATTTTTAATTTTGTTTAATGACAGAGAAATAGATCTGTTATCAGGAAGGGACTTCTGCCATTCACAGAAAATAAACGAAATGAATTCCAAGGAAACAGACTCCGGAACTCATGATGCAGGAAATGACAGTGGCAGCACTGCTCCCAGAAGCATCGAGGAGTCTCTCTCTGAGGATGTGTTCACAGAGTCGGAGCTCTCTCCCATCCGAGAGGAGCATGTCTCTTCAGATAAATCATCTGGGACGTCCTCAGAATCTGTACAGACTGCCCGTCAGACCGAGGTAGGAAGATTGACAGTCCAGTCAGAGTCTAGTAGTCCTCCTGCTCACTCAAAAGCTAACAGTGGACGGTCTGCCAAGGGCGTTGTGGCTGTGTCTAATGAAGGAGATGTGAGTCATCTTGAAATGGCCTCTCAGGACAGAGATCAGGAAGCATCAGGCTCTACGCAAGCAAGCCCAGGTGTAAAAAGTCGTACAGACCGGGATCCTTTTCCTCAGGAGAGTTCCCTACAGCAAGACAGAGGTGAAAGCGAAAACATGTCTTGTAGAGAAACAACAGAAGTTAAACAAAAGCAAACTGTCGACAAAGGCCAGGAAGGAAAGGAACAAAGTTGGAGCTCAGAGACAGAGGTTGAAGAGCTGCGCAAACTCTGGAAAACTCACACTATGCAGCAGACTAAACAGCACAGGGAAAATATTCAGCAGGTATCACTAAAGGAAATGAAGCATAAAGTTGCCTCTGCTGATGGACACGTGGAAGGTAAGTGTTGAGTGCGTGGAGAGTGTTCATTTTCCTCAGTGCGTTCTCCTTGTCCTCACCAGCTCAGAAGCTGCCACGTCTCAGCCAGTGAACGAAACCCCCTGGGGAGGTGCTCTGTGCAGTGGTGTCTGGTCGTGGTGTCAGGGCTTTTCTCATCCCACAGAGGTGTGCACACTGACACCTTCTGCACACATTCTCAACTCCCTGTATTCTCTCTTTAAGTTGTGCCTTAAAAGTGCACACAAACTGTATATCTTTTATGACTCCTTTTTCCATTTTAGTTTTTGGTTTGTCTTTTATCGTTGCTATTGTAATGTTCTAATTTCAGTTTATAATTGCCAAAATTGTATTCCACCTTTTTATATCTGAAGTGTGGTTATACATAAAACTCTGTCTCTAGAATTTTTCCAAGTATCCAGAAATTCTCTCTTCATCTGATGTTTTCCTTTAAAAACAAGCATTCAGGGTCAATAAAAATAGACTCTTCTTTCAGTTCTTTTTTTTTTCTGTTTATTACAAAAATTAGAGTAATAGGCTATCTTTTATTCCTCACGTACTATACTTCTTCCTTAATATGTTATGGGTTAAGTAGGCCATAGTTCAGGTAGCTTAGCAAACATTTCTTACATTCTATTAGAATATGATTCCAGATTAATCCAATTACGTATGATTTTGTATTCAAAAAATTTTATTGTGGTAAAATATACATACAAAAAACAACATTTTGACTTTTGAAATTCTAAAATGCAAGATTTACCATTTAAGCAAATTTTGAACACTTGAGTGGCAGTAAGTGTATTCATTTTTGTTGTGCAACCATCACCAACAACTCTCTGTCTCTGGAGCTTTTTTGTCTTCCCATATTGAAACTGTACTTGATAAACAGTAAATTGTCATTCTTTCTCCCTGTCCCATGCCCTTGGCCACCACCTGTCTGCTTTTTGTTTCTGTCTTTATTCTGGCTACTTTATGTAAGTGGAGCCATGCAGTATTTGTTTGGCTTGCCTGGCTCCTTTCACTTAGCACCATCCTTCAAGCCCTTCCATGATACAGTACGTGTTAGCGTTTCCTGCATTTGTAAGGCCAAGTAAGTTTTGGCTGCTGTGAGAAATACTGCTTGCGTACTGGTCTGCAAGCGTTGGAATCCCATCTTGCAGTGTTTTGTGGCACATTCCCAGAAGTGGAATTGCTGGATATTGTGGTAAATCTGTGTTTGGATTTGTTTTTTTTTTTTTTTTTGGTACCTGGGATTGAACTCGGGTCCTTGCACTTGCAAGGCAGGCCACTGAATCCCCAGCCCAAAGTGGGTTATAATATATACATGAATAGTTGGTGTTTTTTTTTTTTTGTTTTGCTTTGTTTAGTTTGTCGTTTTTAGTTTTTGCTACTGGGGATCAAACTTGGGTCCTTGTGCTTGCGAAGCAGGTGCTGGAACCACTGAGCTAAATCCCCAGCCCTTGTGTTTGGATTTTTGAAGAATCACCTGTTTTTCACAGTGGCTGGACCATTTTACATCTCCACCAGTAATACATAAAAATTCTGTTCAGTTTTTACAATACTGAATTTCCTTTTCATCATTCTGTTGAGATACTTTGAAGAACTAAGGATGCTATTCACTAGATATTAATGCATACCTTTACTTGAAGCAAGTTCTGTAAAAGATTTGACTATAATGTAATTTTTTTTCTTTATTTAGGACTAATGAATACTGTACATTTTAATGAACATTTGACAAATACACGTTTCTACACAATTTATAAAAAACCTGGAACTTATCACTTGGATTAGCATTGTTAATACCAAATACTTATTCCTGGAGGGTGTTTGTATTTATGTGGTTGCCTGTATACATGCACACGTGTATATATAAGTTTTATATTTGTGTATATCTGTACATACAGATTTTTTTGTTTTTTGGCAATGCTGGGGATTGAACACAGGGCTTTGCACATTTAGGAAACAGCTCTACCATTGATCCATGTCCCCAGCATATGGATTTTTTAAATATAAAATCAGGATCATATTTAGTGTTTATCCTTTTCAACCTAACATTTACGTCATGAACATTTCTGTGTGTCATAGTTTTTTGAAAACATGGTTGTAATAACCCTATAATTTATTTAACCATTTCCATATTGTTAAGATATTCAGCTGTTACTAATAATTCAGATTAAGGCTTATTGTCTTTAATGTAAACAGTGTTGTATAAATATCTTCATGGTCATACATGATTTATTATTATTTATTTTATTTGTCTGTATCTGATAGTTACTTGATATTTTGAAATCTTGAAAAAAGTAATAGACTAATGTTAATAGGTTTGTTGTGGGGGTAAGGAGAATTAATAGAGGCAGTCTCATTATAGCCAATTCTTTTGTTTGTTTGTTTGTTTTTTGTGGTACTGGGGATCAAACTCGGGTCCTTGCGCTTGCGAGGCAGGCCACCGAACCGCTGAGCTAAATCCCTGGTGCATTATAGCCAATTCTAAAAGGGGAAAAATTGGTAGATGTTTTAGGTACATCTACATGATTGCTATTTGAGTTTTTTTTTAACAGAATAAAAGTTAATTTTAAGTAATTTGACACTCTATAATAGGGAAATATTGTTTCTGATATTTATGATTTTATAGCAATACATAATAAGTTATATATTAAATACAAATTGTAGAATATTTCTCTGGGAAGAATGATATGAATTCCTCATTTTAGCCAGTGTAAATTCTGGGACTCAAGTAGATTATGTATTTTGCCCAACTTTATACCAAAAAAAAAAAAAAAAAGGAAAATACCCATATCTCTGTAAGTGTATTTTCCTTCAAAGTGTGTTGCCTTAGGATGAATTAATATCCAAGTTCCTAAACTCAACCGTGTTATCAGACCCTCAGTATACTTTATATCAGCATCTCTGATTGGAAGTGTTGGAGATGACTCAGACTTAATTACCTGTCCAAACGAGTTGGCTGCATCTAGCATATTGTTCATTGACTTGTCATACCTTTATATGTGTGTAAAAGCTTCAGAAATGTCATTGTCTGTGGTAACCATATTAAAGGAAGCCTTTTAAAGTCTTCAAACTTACTTAAATATTATTCTAAAGACTGAAGGAGAATATGCAGAAAATTCTGTATGCATATCTAATTAGCATAGTTGTTATAAACAAAAATTTAATTAAGGGCCAAGGTCATGGCTCAGTGGCACAGTTGCCTGCCTGGCAAGTGTGAGGCCCTGAGTTCAATTTCTGGTACAAAAAAAAAAAAAAAAAAAAAAATTCAAAGGATTCCTAAAGCTTTTGCATTTTTTCATAATGTTCCTTGACACAATCTCAGCCCATTAACTTGTCTTTCATTTATCTGTGACTTTGTCTTTGATGGAAAACACTACAAGTTACTTCATGAATTCACCTGTGTACCGATAAAATGAGTTTTTATTTGAAGTTGGAAGTTAGAAGGTAAAACTACTAAAGAATTTCACCATGTGTCTGAGAATTGAGTGAGCACTGCCTGCATCTCACATCTAGGTTCTGCACCTCTGAAGGAAAAGAGGAGGCATCGATTGCATAAGTTCTTATGTCTCAGAGTTGGAAAACCAATGAGGAAGACATTTGTGTCTCAAGCAAGTGCTACCATGCAGCAGTACGCGCAGAGAGACAAGAAGCATGAGTACTGGTTCGCCGTGCCTCAGGAAAGGTAAAAAATAAAAGTGAAAACATTTTAAGCTTCCCCAAGTTAGAATTATTTTGTATATCACAATAACAGTGGCAAAGTGCAGTACTTTGAGGTAGTTTCTAATTAAAACTTGACTTTTAATCCATTTTAAATCATTTAGCTTGTATTTGTCCTATTTAATTTGCTCCATTTGTATATGGGGAAAAAAAAGAATGAACATGTGCCAGCCAGATTTTAGTAGTGAAAAAGAGTACTTAAGAAAAGACCCTCAAAGTGTTGACTGGTATGGCACTTTTCTGAAGGCAGTGAATGATGTATGATCCCTTTATTTAAATTCCTTCAAATATGTTAATTGCCTACCATATATGTGACCCCAGATTAGCCAGTGGTGGTCCTCAAGCTGTTTTTGTGTACTCTCTACACAGTAAAGTCTTTTAAGTTTAAGCAGTTATAAAACATTCCTTTTGTATTATAAATATTGACATTTTAAGTTTAAATTATTGATCTTTTAAATGCTGTATACCCAGTGAATCTAAAAATCATAACAATTAGCCCTTTATCATTATCTGCTTAAAAACAACTTGGAAGTTCTCTTCTACAGTTAAAAACAGCATCATTCCTTTTTAGCTTTAAACTTGTATTTTCCTTTATACCTACCCACAGTGTGTAATTATAAGGTATTTTTACCCCGTCTTTGCAACTAACTATAATTATGCATTTATTTAACTGTGTGGATGTCCCCTGAACTCATTTATTTTACAACTTCCTGTGACTGCTGTCAGAATAGTGAAGGCCCTGAGTTGACCTGCTTTAGTCTGATGCACACTGACAGAAGATGACATCATCCATTGATGAATGTTGTCTGTTGAAAGGGTGAGATAGAATTCAAATCTCATCTGTCCCTTCCTTTGTTGTGTTTTTTGCAAGTACTGAGAAGCTTTGTTAATGAGTCAGTTACACAAGAAGAGTTTTTTTATAATGTCACTCAATTCTTTAAATGTGTTTTGTGATTGTTCCAAAAAATTACTTTTCTTTTACCAAGTTAATTTTACTGATCATCAGTGAACAACTCCATTGAAAACTTAAATTTGGGGGAAGAACTTATGACCCAGTCATTTATAATTGTTTCCTGCTTCAACAGCAGTCTTGGGCAGCCTAAAAGTTTTTATATTCTAAGGCATGTACCATTGTAAAAATCTGAATGGATGAGCATATGTTCTTCTACAACTTAGGAAAAACACTTTAGTGAAAGCAGAGAACAAGGAATCTTGTGATTATCTTGACCCAAGGGATTAGTATAAGCAGAGAGTGACACAGAAATGGAGAATGTAGAAATTAATTCCCTTAGATCTGAATTGTCCCATGTGCCTCTTAGAAAGCTTTTATATGTTGCTTTGAATACTACTACTTTTTTTTTTTTTTTTGTACTGGAGATTAAACTCAGGACCTGACACTTGCCAGGCAGGCACTGTGCTGCTGAGCTAAATCCCTGGCCCCTGAATACTGCTACTTTTGAGTATAAAATGATAAAGTTTCCCTCTTTTCTTGCCCCACCAGCTTGCACAGAACAGTGTGTGTATCTTCTATAAATGTGATATTAAAAAGTGTGTTACCATTTGCATAATTAATGACTACTTGAAAACAAGTGATTGACCAGATAATCAACTTTGCCAGTTGTCTTTAAATGACAAAAATAAAAAATTCTAACTATATTTAGTTTTTCTTACCACCCTTGGTTATATTTTACCTTTTACATAGAGTTTTTGTTTTAATATTGTCCTTGAACCTTGTTCATTAAAAATTAATATCACTAGGATTCTGAATTTTATTATAGTCCTGTAATTTATGAAAATTTCTCTTGATAGTGATAAATAATCTGAAAGATAAAAAAGTAATGCTCCTTGAATATGTCAGTTGTCATAAAAGCTATGATTTTTAAATCATTAAATGGGAATATGTCCTTTTCAGAACCATTTTTATTGATTATTATATGTTAGCTGAGAATTTTCTAATCAATTTTGAATTATTTATGCTAATTAAAGTCAATAGTAATGTAAGATGTGTGTTTGGCCTTTAGATATGTTTACTAGGGCTGGGCGTGGTGGTGCATGCCTATAATCCCAGCACTCAGGAGGCTGAGGTAGGAGGATCACTGTGAGTTCGAGACCAGCCTGGGCTACATAGTGAGTTCCAGGTCAGTTTCAACTACATAGTGAGACCCTGTCTCAATAAATAAATAAATAAATAAATAAATAAATATGTTTGCTAGGGAATGCAACCTCAGCTTTTACTGTAGTTAACAAAACATGAGGAAGGGAAACAAAAATTTAAAAGATTGGATCACCTATCCCTGAACTAATCAGTATGTATACCTGATATCATTTAAAATTAAGGAAATTAAACTTCTGTTAATTTGGAAACCTTTAATACAATATTCAGGTTTCAAAATGGACAACTAGTAATTGTTTCCTTATGTTTTAATCATTAGATCATGTGTGACTGTGGATTTAGCTTCCTTTCCCATCACTAGTATCTTTAAGAAGGAAAAACATTTCTCTGTATATCATCTGACCCAGTCAAAAGCATGCCAAGGAAAATTTTAATACAGTTTTTTTCAGAACAGCCTGAGATCACAGCTCAATAAGGTCTTCCATATAATGAGCTCTATCTTTTTATGTAAAGCAATATATATATTTGTGTGTGTGTGTGTGTGTGTGTGTGTGTGTGTGTGTGTGTTTGGTTTTTTGAGACAGGGTCTCACTATGTAGTTGAGACTGACCTGGAACTCACTATGTAGCCCAGGATGGTCTTGAACTCACAGCGATCCTCCTGCCTCAGCCTCCCAATTGTTAGGATTACAGGCATGCGCCACCACGCCCAGCTTATTTTGTATATATTTAATTTTCATGTTTTATCAAGGTATTTCACTAATTGTAACTAGTACAGAATAGTAGTTCTGACAGATTTTTCTTCTAACAGGACAGACCACTTGTATGCCTTCTTCATTCAGTGGAGCCCAGAAATCTATGCAGAAGACATTGGCGAATATACCAGAGAACCTGGGTTCATAGTAGTAAAAAAGATTGAGGAATCTGAAACAAGTGAGGATCCTACTAGTCAAGCAGCAGCCAGAGAATGGGAGGTAAGTAGAAAATAGGAAGGTTTCGTCCATCCTCTTTGTATGAATTTATAATTTTATGGTAATAAAACATAAGTGATCTTTGTACCAAGGAGTGTTTTTTTTAAAGGTTCAGGTTTGTTCTCTGTGTACATTTGTGTTTATCTAATGAATCTTAATAGTAACTGTCACACTTTTTGTCACTTTGCTTTTGCTTTACAATACCAGAAACCTATCGGCAATAAAATGACTCTTGATGAGTGTATTTTAGAATATTTGGTATAGAACAGAGTAATAGTATGGCACAGAAAGAAGTGATATTAATTGCTGTTATAGTTTCATAAAACATTGCTTCAGATTTGCTTCTTTCACATGGGGCAGATTTAGCATTCACTTAACCCAGTCAGGCAAGGTACCAGTCCTTTCTGACTTCCAGGCCTATGCCTTGTCACAATTTGAATAGCAGTAATAATGTTAGGGAAATAAGCTGGTCCTAGTTTTATGAAGTAAGAAAAAATTTTATGTGCTCAAATTCAATGAACTTTTGTAAGTGGCCAAACTAATTTTGATAAGCTTTGGTAACTCCTCTTAAGATTACATTCTCTCATTTTACTTGCTTTTCGTTGCAGAGTGGATAAAGTGACAGAATACATGCTTGTTCTTGCTGGAATTAATCTCTTTCATTTATTAGAAAATACAGAGCAGATGCTAAAATGTAACCATAAGTGGAATCAGATTTTGTTATTTGGTTAATGTTTGTGGTTGTTTATGTGGTACGAATTTACTATGCGTGCACTTAACATGTATAATGATTCAAAATATACATGGTATGTCTTTTGTTTAAAACGTGAACTTGTTTTGGAATGTCTCTGATTTCATTCTGTGTAGTACGTAAAGCATCCATTTCTACTGCAATTCCAATATAGTGGAGGGAAAGAAGTGAAAATATATTGAGTATTTATTTTGGGCTCTCTTAATAGTTAAACCTAATATTAATCTTTTTGCCAGCTTTATAATAGCCCCAAACTGGGAAGAACCTGAATACCCATCAGTAGGTGAATAAAGGGATACGTTTTGGGATATGTATAAAATCTCAAATAACATATCCCAAATAATGTAGCAGTAAAAAGGAAGGGTCTTCTAGCACAGGCAACAGCATGGATGGATGTTACAGACGCAGAGTGTGTGCTGTGTGACTCACGTGAGTCAGAGGAAAGTTAGCAGAAGCCCAGCAGACAACATTTGAGATAGAGCAGAGCAAGATGAAATAGTATGGCCAGCTGCTTAAGTTAGTGACAGCCAGGTAGGGTGGAGTTTCTAACTGAGGTGCTTGTCTGGGAGAGAGCAGTGTTTTCAGTTAAGGAGGGGAAGTGAGAGCTTGTTCTCATTTAAGGTTGGAGCATCGAAATTTGGAAACAGTAGACTGCTCTTTTATGGACTCTAAGAATGGCTTAAGTTTCTGTGGAAGATTTTGCTGATTATATTTTCTAGATTAGAAAACACAGATATCTCCTCACCTGTGCTTGGACCAAACTGGTTCAAATGAAAGTTGAAGAGAAAGAAAATATAATTTTGTAAACTCTTCACTGCATTATCTAGAAACAGAACTACTAGCCCTTTGTGGCCATGCAACTAAAGAACTGGGTTTTTTAAATTTCAAAACTGAAAATAATTGATTTAGTTCATAGGTTTGAAAATGTGAAGAACAATTTGTATATATAATCTGAAGTACAAACTTTATGAAATCTAAATATGATCTAAATAAGGTGAAAATTAAGTGTCTAAGATATGTTGTAGCATAAAATATTCTTTTTCTGATAAAGTCACCACTAGCCACATGTAGCTATTGAATATTTAAAATAGAATGAATTGAGATGTGCTATAATATAAAATAACACACTGAATTTCAGTAACTTTTAATTGAAAGAGAAAAGAATCTTATTTTTATGCTGGTTAATATTTAAATGATAATACTTTAAATATATTAGGTTAAAATATTGAAATGCACTTTTTCTTTGTTAATGTGGCTGCTAGAAAAATTTACAGTGGCATACGTATTCTGCATTATGTCTCTCTAACATAGTGTATGTTTAGTGCCTGACAGTAACAAAAAACAGTTTATTAAGCTAATGAATACTTATTTAAGTGAGAGAGTAATTTTAAATGTTAAAATGATCTTTCAGAAAAGAATTTGGCTAGAGCACTTATACAAATCAATAGTGTATGATACTGAATAGTTTCTCTGGTGTGAAAAACTAAAATAGTACTCAAGATCCTAACGGGACAATTAGCAACGTGAAATAGGAAGAAAAGGACCAAAGGTGTAGGGACAGTGAGAAGGATAGGGAAAGGGGAACAAGGAAAAAGGAAAAAACTATGAGAAAATGTAAAAATGGAATTAAAGTGTTTGAAGGTGGGGAGGGGAAGAGGGGGTGAAAGGAGGGTGGGGACAAGGGGAAAAAATGAGAACCAAGACCTGGCATGTAAAGGTACAAGATCCCAGTAACGAATGTAACTGTACTGTCTACCTAGAATGTACCAATAAATTCAATTTAAAAGAAAAAAAATAGTATATGAAAGTGACAGATGATTAAAATTTTTTCTCCCTAGGTATGGAGAATAGGTGCTTTAGAATTTAGGATGTATTTATTATGGCTACCAACTTGGGCATGGATCTGTTTGATTAAAATTACTGCTGTATTTACTTTTACATTATTTTCCTGATGCTTAGAAGATGTTTATTGTCAGGCAGAAATGTGCACATGAACTGGGGAAATCCAAATATGGTAAACTTATCTTTACTCCATTTCCATTCCCTTCTTCTCCCACTCCCTGAATTGAGGCCATGAGGCAGGGATTTGCCCATTTACTCCATACTCAGAGCTGAGAAATGTTACTGCTGAATCAATCATTCATCCTCAGGTATTTATTGGATTGGTGAATAAATTTTGGCATAGGATAAAATAGAGTATAAAGCTTTTTATCTTTCCAAACTGGTCTTTATACTACAATAAGTTCTTGTAACATACGTACTAAATAATTAATTATAAACTAATAGACTCTGGAAATTAGAATTAATTTCCAGTTAAGCCTCTTTGTCATTTCACATTTTACAGTATTCTTTGTTCTATTTTAGCATATAAGTGGTAGGGAATTTATATGTCAAAGTGCAGCACTTTTCATTTTAGGATAACTCTGTTAGAAAGTTCTTGTTGTGGAAAGTGTAAAGAAACGTGTCTTTGTAAATTTGTTTCATTTGTCTGTTCTCCCACTTAGTGCACATTAACAACAATAGCAAAACTTTCCTGTATCCTAAGGTAACGTGAAAATATTTACCTTCCTTTTTCACGTTGTTTCTGCATCATTTTCTCCAGTAATTAGACTCTTTATGGACTCTGCAGATCCTGATTTATCCTTATCGTCACTGCTGTATCATAGCATTTATAAACTCTGTGGGCACCCCAGATTATAAAATGTGCCCTTGGAATAGGAGAAACTTCTATAATACATAAAGAAATTTAATTCCAAAATATGCAAATTGAAAACCAGTCCTTACTTGTGTTGTTAAATATACTTAGAAAAGGTAGAAACTTAAGAATTAGAAATATGAGAACAGCATGAAGAACAGTATTAGAGATTTGTAAAGTGAATTCCAGAGACAGAGTGGACCGTCAGAAACCTGTGTTTACCAAGTAAATGTAGGCAGGTTTTAAGTGGTGAGGAGTGAGAGCCTCTAAGGCTATTTCAGGGTACGTCCTGAGCAGTGGGGAGAGGGTCTGGGAACACTGTCCATGGGGAAGAGTCCAGTGCTCTCTCCTGTCACATTCAGCATCTTCTGAGCATACCATGTGGTGAGTCCTTGGTGTGTGAGGGAGCCTCACTAATTGCACAAGCCTGGTGCTCTTGCTGAGAAAGGAGTTTTTTAAACAGTCAAGGCACAGAGTGACTCAAGAAACCTTTCTCCAAGGTGAACATAATGTGTGTTTTAGGTGCAGCACAAACAATCAGTGTAATATGAATTATGAGTTGTGCTGCTGTTGAACTTGCAACTGAGAAGGAACTGCTTTCTTCAAATTTGCCCTCCTCTTCTGTCAATCTCCAATCTTACGAGTCAGTACATGGATTGTGGGTAGTGAGGACACTGCTTTCTGTGGTCTTTGCATTCTTCAATCATGCTTACTATTTCTCTGTATTTTTACTGCAAGGTCAGGCAGGCCCTACGGTAAAGGTAAGATGCCTCCTGCCACCCACTGTTCTTGATGATAGTGCTTTGTTTGGTAAATATACAAAAATGAGAGAGTAGTAATATGATGAAACCAGTTACTCAGCCTTATTAGTGTATCTCATCTATTCACCTTTTTTCAAATGTCTTTTAAAAACCTTTTTTTTTTTTTTTTTTTGTACCAGGGATCAAACTCAGGACCTTGCAGTTGCAAGGCAGGCAGCAGTACCACTGAGCTAAATCCCCAGCCCAAAAATGTTTAAACATATATAATCATATATAATATGTATCTACTCTGACAGTTTGTTTTTTGAATCAGGATCTAAGTACCAAATATTGAGGTTAAAATGTCTTAAGTCTCTAAATATGAGTTTGCCTTGTACTTTTTTCTTTTCTTTATTTAATACTAATATATAAT